AAATTTGAAAACTGGGTATGCAGATTTGTTAATCTATTAAATATTGGCATAGAACTGCTTTCCGAATTAAAATCAATGAGTTTTTGGCTGAGTTATGCGTTTTTTAAACTATGATTTTTGGAGAAAATTGTCTGTTTTTATACCTTTTTGCAAGGTTTTATTATTTTATTTAAAAACTAACAATAGCATCAACAAACGTAGTATGCAGATTAAATAGTACAATAAAAACTAGCACAGAACAGCTTTCCGAATTAAAATTAATGCAGTTTCGGCTTAATTATGATGTCCGAAAAACTTAGATTTTTCAAAAAAATTGCCTGTTTTTATACCTTTTTCGTTGGGTATAATTTATGCCAGAAGCTTGTTACGCTGTGAAGGAATCATTTCCGACCCTACAAACCGTATATATTCTTGATCAGCATCAAAAGCTGAATCGATCTAGCCATGTCCGGTCAAAAAATAAATTTTTAAGATTTTTCCGAAAATTGAAAATTTCATAAGGGGTTACATCATTAAAATTGTCAAAATTTGACAAAAAATTGAATCTTTTAAATTTGAAAACTGGGTATGCAGATTTGTTAATCTATTAAATATTGGCATAGAACTGCTTTCCGAATTAAAATCAATGAGTTTTTGGCTGAGTTATGCGTTTTTTAAACTATGATTTTTGGAGAAAATTGCCTGTTTTTATACCTTTTTGCAAGGTTTTATTATTTTATTTAAAAACTAACAATAGCATCAACAAACGTAGTATGCAGATTAAATAGTACAATAACAACTAGCACAGAACAGCTTTCCGAATTAAAATTAATGCAATTTCGGCTTAATTATGATGTCCGAAAACTTAGATTTTTCAAAAAAATTGTCTGTTTTTATACCTTTTTCGTTGGGTATAATTTATGCCAGAAGCTTGTTACGCTGTGAAGGAATCATTTCCGACCCTACAAACCGTATATATTCTTGATCAGCATCAAAAGCTGAATCGATCTAGCCATGTCCGGTCAAAAAATAAATTTTTAAGATTTTTCCGAAAATTGAAAATTTCATAAGGGGTTACATCATTAAAATTGTCAAAATTTGACAAAAAATTGAATCTTTTAAATTTGAAAACTGGGTATGCAGATTTGTTAATCTATTAAATATTGGCATAGAACTGCTTTCCGAATTAAAATCAATGAGTTTTTGGCTTAGTTATGCGTTTTTTAAACTATGATTTTTGGAGAAAATTGCCTGTTTTTATACCTTTTTGCAAGGTTTTATTATTTTATTTAAAAACTAACAATAGCATCAACAAACGTAGTATGCAGATTAAATAGTACAATAAAACTAGCAAAGAACAGCTTTCCGAATTAAAATTAATGCAATTTCGGCTTAATTATGATGTCCGAAAAACTTAGATTTTTCAAAAAAATTGTCTGTTTTTATACCTTTTTCGTTGGGTATAATTTATGCCAGAAGCTTGTTACGCTGTGAAGGAATCATTTCCGACCCTACAAACCGTATATATTCTTGATCAGCATCAAAAGCTGAATCGATCTAGCCATGTCCGGTCAAAAAATAAATTTTAAGATTTTTCCGAAAATTGAAATTTTATAAAATAATAATAATATATATAAAATTGTCAAAATTTGACAAAAAATTGAATCTTTTAATTTGAAAACTGGGTATGCAGATTTGTTAATCTATTAAATATTGGCATAGAACTGCTTTCCGAATTAAAATCAATGAGTTTTGGCTGAGTTATGCGTTTTTTAAACTATGATTTTGGAGAAATTGCCTGTTTTTATACCTTTTTGCAAGGTTTTATTATTTTATTTTAAAACTAACAATAGCATCAACAAACGCAGTATGCAGATTAAATAGTACAATAAAAACTAGCACAGAACAGCTTTCCGAATTAAAATTAATGCAATTTCGGCTTAATTATGATGTCCGAAAAACTTAGATTTTTAAAAAAATTGCCTGTTTTTATACCTTTTTCGTTGGGTATAATTTATGCCAGAAGCTTGTTACGCTGTGAAGGAATCATTTCCGACCCTACAAACCGTATATATTCTTGATCAGCATCAAAAGCTGAATCGATCTAGCCATGTCCGGTCAAAAAGAAATTTTTAAGATTTTTCCGAAAATTGAAAATTTCATAAGGGGTTACATCATTAAAATTGTCAAAATTTGACAAAAAATTGAATCTTTTAAATTTGAAAACTGGGTATGCAGATTTGTTAATCTATTAAATATTGGCATAGAACTGCTTTCCGAATTAAAATCAATGAGTTTTTGGCTTAGTTATGCGTTTTTTAAACTATGATTTTTGATTGCCTGTTTTTATACCTTTTTGCAAGGTTTTATTATTTTATTTTAAAACTGACAATAGCATCAACAAACGCAGTATGCAGATTAAATAGTACAATAAAAACTAGCACAGAACAGCTTTCCGAATTAAAATTAATGCAATTTCGGCTTAATTATGATGTCCGAAAAACTTAGATTTTTCAAAAAATTGCCTGTTTTTATACCTTTTTCGTTGGGTATAATTTATGCCAGAAGCTTGTTACGCTGTGAAGGAATCATTTCCGACCCTACAAACCGTATATATTCTTGATCAGCATCAAAAGCTGAATCGATCTAGCCATGTCCGGTCAAAAAATAAATTTTTAAGATTTTCCGAAAATTGAAAATTTCATAAGGGGTACATCATTAAAATTGTCAAAATTTGACAAAAAATTGAATCTTTTAAATTTGAAAACTGGGTATGCAGATTTGTTAATCTATTAAATATTGGCATAGAACTGCTTTCCGAATTAAAATCAATGAGTTTTTGGCTGAGTTATGCGTTTTTTAAACTATGATTTTTGGAGAAAATTGCCTGTTTTTATACCTTTTTGCAAGGTTTTATTATTTTATTTAAAAACTAACAATAGCATCAACAAACGTAGTATGCAGATTAAATAGTACAATAAAAACTAGCACAGAACAGCTTTCCGAATTAAAATTAATGCAATTTCGGCTTAATTATGATGTCCGAAAAACTTAGATTTTTCAAAAAAATTGCCTGTTTTTATACCTTTTTCGTTGGGTATAATTTATGCCAGAAGCTTGTTACGCTGTGAAGGAATCATTTCCGACCCTACAAACCGTATATATTCTTGATCAGCATCAAAAGCTGAATCGATCTAGCCATGTCCGGTCAAAAAATAAATTTTTAAGATTTTTCCGAAAATTGAAAATTTCATAAGGGGTTACATCATTAAAATTGTCAAAATTTGACAAAAAATTGAATCTTTTAAATTTGAAAACTGGGTATGCAGATTTGTTAATCTATTAAATATTGGCATAGAACTGCTTTCCGAATTAAAATCAATGAGTTTTTGGCTGAGTTATGCGTTTTTTAAACTATGATTTTTGGAGAAAATTGCCTGTTTTTATACCTTTTTGCAAGGTTTTATTATTTTATTTAAAAACTAACAATAGCATCAACAAACGTAGTATGCAGATTAAATAGTACAATAAAAACTAGCACAGAACAGCTTTCCGAATTAAAATTAATGCAATTTCGGCTTAATTATGATGTCCGAAAAACTTAGATTTTTCAAAAAAATTGCCTGTTTTATACCTTTTTCGTTGGGTATAATTTATGCCAGAAGCTTGTTACGCTGTGAAGGAATCATTTCCGACCCTACAAACCGTATATATTCTTGATCAGCATCAAAAGCTGAATCGATCTAGCCATGTCCGGTCAAAAAATAAATTTGTAAGATTTTTCCGAAAATTGAAAATTTCATAAGGGGTTACATCATTAAAATTGTCAAAATTTGACAAAAAATTGAATCTTTTAAATTTGAAAACTGGGTATGCAGATTTGTTAATCTATTAAATATTGGCATAGAACTGCTTTCCGAATTAAAATCAATGAGTTTTTGGCTTAGTTATGCGTTTTTTAAACTATGATTTTTGGAGAAAATTGCCTGTTTTTATACCTTTTTGCAAGGTTTTATTATTTTATTTTAAAACTAACAATAGCATCAACAAACGCAGTATGCAGATTAAATAGTACAATAAAAACTAGCACAGAACAGCTTTCCGAATTAAAATTAATGCAATTTCGGCTTAATTATGATGTCCGAAAAACTTAGATTTTTCAAAAAAATTGCCTGTTTTTATACCTTTTTCGTTGGGTATAATTTATGCCAGAAGCTTGTTACGCTGTGAAGGAATCATTTCCGACCCTACAAACCATATATATTCTTGATCAGCATCAAAAGCTGAATTGATCTAGCCACGCCCGGTCAAATTTATTTTTCATTGCTAGTTTGACTCGTCTGTTGATGCTGCTCAATAATTTATATGATTTATATGGTCGGAAATGACTTCTTCGATTATAATTATATAGGGAATTGTACAAAACAGATGGTTTTAAAGAATTTTCTAATTGTGTTTGGTTTCCAGGTAGCTCGGTTAATTGTTTATAAAACAATTCCAATTGTATTCAAACCTCCCGTTGAAAATTAAGCTTTGAAGTATGTACCACTTTCAAGTGTCTAATTAACTGATTATTCACTCTATTCACTGTGAATATTGAATATTACCTTTTTCAGATACTTCACATGCCTCTTGGGCGTGGGCACCAAACCCGTACGTGTTGTAGCGCTCATTTTTATTAAATAAATAAACTCCAAGGAATCGAAACTGTCTTCAAAAGTTGCCGGCCATAAACAATGGGTTCGGTTACCATGGTTATCAACCTTTTATCGATTTTTAGTTCATTTCCATTGGCAAATAAACTTCTTAAGAATAAATTATTTGCTCTGAATAGGTAATACATCAAAAATTTTCCATAAATATAATATTGAGGTCTTCTAATAATAAATTCATCATAAATAAATTATTCAGGAGTAATTCTAATAATAAATTCAGATATTCATATCATACCCAACACCTTAAAGTATTTTACATATATTTTAAAATTACAAAACTAAAAAAAACCAACAATTTCCGTTGTATAACATATGTTTATTGTGTCAGTTGTGTGTGTGTTTCTTAAAAATTAAACAAAACTTTTTGGATTATTAATTAGGTAGGGAATACATTTTTAGGAAGAAGGATTTATCAGACAGTTTAAATGCTCGATCACGGTTCTCAGTACAGGGAACCGCGATGATGCAGATGCCTGAGACGTTGATCCAGCAACTGGCGTTCATTGGACAGCGAAAGTGTCGACGAGGAGCGATGCAGGGGTGCTGGAAGAATGGGGGCACTGCCCGACCCAGACCCACGACCGGCGGAGACTGTGACCACGCCACCAGGTGATGTTCCCTCAATGGGACCCATTCCGGCCGTGTTACCCACCGCCCGAGAACGGAGTAAATGATTCCGGAGCGGCGACTGGCGTCGCACCGAATTATTGAATGAGATCTGCAGCGAAAGGCGCTTCTGGGAAAGCGAAGCGAGGTGCTCCGGCGACAGCTCAATCACCTGAGGTGGAGCAGCCGCTGCCACGGCCATGGCAGCCGCTGTGGCGGCACTATAACTGGGCAGTGAGCCTGTGGAAATCGGTGAGGTGTTGCCACAATTACAGCCAGCGGCAGCAGACCCAATCGACACACTATCACCGCCATCCACAGCAGATATATTGGTCTCCACAAGGCTATAGCCCACCGCTTGCTCCTTGCCATTGTCATTGCACTCAAATATCTTAATGATGGGCACCACAGCCGGGGTAAGGATAATGCCAGCCTTACGGAACTCCTCCAGGGCATCATCGTAGGTCGGCAATCCGGATACTATAGTATAGGAGGGCAGCGATTCCGCCTCATAGTCTGGTGGACAACGGCGGCAAATCTCAATCGTGGGATCACTGTGATTGGCACGGTCTGAAAGAGGAGAAAGTAGGTTAGAAAAGTCATTACACAAAGGATTTTTGGCCCCAGGATTTGTCGATATGCATCTTGTTATTACAGTGTATTTGCTAATGTTGAGTAAGCAATATTTCTGTTAAAATATTAATGGTTTCAATTTGAAATTAATTTTCTAAAAAAAAAGGTTTCCTATAAAAAGAGGGAAATTAAAACCTATGACCTTTTTTTCTTTTGATTTTCAACCATTAATAATACAACTATTAAGTGTTTCTCTGCTTTTTTCCCCTCAGCTTCTCTCTTTTCTTGTTTTATATTCCCAAATTCCTGCTCGCAACTTCCGGAAACAAATAAAAGGGAAAAGAACAATCAGAATTATCAAATCAATTCCCCTTTAGCTACCTTTGGGATTTTCCTACAGCCGGCAAATAGCACTTAAACCATTCCCACTTCTATTTCCTTCTAGTTTTCTGGTATTTTGGGGGATGCTTCTGCTTTTGCGGATCTAAATGAAATTTTTATACCGAACAACGTTTGTTCGCTTAAAAGCTAGTAAAATGTTCTAAAGGTAGCTGCGGATGCAGCTGCGACAACGCAACCCTTAAAAGTAGGCAACAAAAAAAGCAAGTTATTGCAATTGTCCAGCGGAAAAGCGAAGAAGGAAATGAATGTGGCTCTCGGGATGGTTGAGGGGGAAAAACCCCGAACATGGAATGGCATATAAATATATCTCCTCGAAAAGGTGAGTCAGCAGCCCAAAGATGGAGTGTGCTGAGATCTACCGGTGACGTGGTACAAGATTTTTAAGATTAGCTTCGGCAAATATTGAAAATGGCACACGCTTCGCTTCACACCCTTTTTTTTTTGGTCTTTGGATTTAAAGCCTGCGGGTCGGCATTTTCCGACATTTTCCGACAGTTTTCTCCCCCCCGTAACATTTTCACACCCACATGGAACGAACGGACGTTCATTTTTTATGCAACGCTTTTGTGAGCTTACGAAATTAAATTGATGATGCACAAGAAAGCGGGCGGGAATGAAAGTGAAAACTCATCGGCAGGGGGGTTGGATTGGGATTCTGGGGGTTGGGGGTTTTGTGGCTGGGAGCTTGAGCTTGGGTTTGGAGCAGAGCCAGAACCAGAACCAGAGCCATATGGCACCCTGGGGGCACTGTCAACCCCTTCGTTTCACTCTGCCACTGCCACTGCTGCTGACAACAGCTCAACGTGCTTAAGCCTTTTTGTAATTTTCAATTGACTTTAGTTAATTATGGGTCGGGCTTACATCAGGCTTAACGTATGTACAATATATGCCTCTCCAAGGAGAGGGGAGCGAGCGAAATCTCTTGGTTTTTAAGTCCACTGGGATACACTTTTGATTTTGCGACAGGTTGTGCTTTTAAAATGAATATTTAAGTTTGTGTTAAGCACTGTGAAGTATTTAAATTGAAAGGCAATTAAATAGGGGCAATTTCAGTATCAAAAAGCACATGCAAAGTTTGTAACATTTGTGTTTGTATTAAAAGTAAAAAATAAATAATACTACAACATTGGAAAGAAATTGACAAAGAATTTAAACAACAATAAAAAGGAACTTTCCAAATCAACTTTTCTTTTTCAATATTTGCTTTGCTTAAACTTCCTTAAATATTTGTTATACATATTTCTTTTTGGTCTCATAAACCCGGGAATTATAGTTTGCCTTTTAAGACGGATTTTCTTTAGTACAAGCCATCGCCCCAAACACATAATCCCCCACGAAAAACTGGCCATTCCCTCAGCCGAGGGGAACGTGGCTTTTGCCATGGCCACAACTACTTGGCTTCATGATGAACTGTCTGGGCCCATAAGCCCTGGGACATACGCATTCAATTCCCCAAACGCAGCTTAGCACGACAATAAAATGAAGTGCAGCGCATAAAAAGAGAAGTCGAGAAAGCCGCTTTCTTGCCAGATGAAACGAAATAAAGAAGGCACAAAGTGTAAGTGCGTTGTGCATAAAATATTCGCCGCAAGTTATAAGCCAGCAACAAAAATGGACACCGAAATATCCACTAGTCAATATGGCAAAGGTCATGAAACTGTCCTCCCAACATCCACAACAACGAAAACTTGAATGCCAGAGCGAATGGGAACCACAAATCCACTGGAAGAAATTAATAATAAATATTAAGAATTTATAAAATAGGTTTTAGTAAATCCCTGAATAAGAATACTTTCAAGAAAATAAAATAAAATAGTAAAGAATAGCCTAGAAATAAAAAAACAAGCATAGAAATTAAGCAAACCAGAAAGGAAACTAACTTCGGGAAGGCAAAGTTCTTATTAGAATTAGTAGAATTATAAAGAACTTAAGTTTTTTTAATCAATATTTATCAATATTCTATTATAATTTCGATTCAGCTTTTGATGCTGATCAATAATATATATGATGTATAGGGTCGGAAATGATTCCTTCGCCGCGTTTCATGCCTGTGACTAAAATAATAATACCTTGAAAAGGTATAAAAAGTTTATTTTCAGTTACCTTGAATGCAAATCTATAATAATGTTATGAGTTAAAATAATATATATATTTATATATAATATATATGATAAAAATGTATTTTCAATAAGACTGGATTATATTATTTTATTTTAAATTTAAAATTTTAAGAACCTAGCTTTTCATTCAAAGATTAAACTCATGAATTCATAACTTATATCCAAAAAATGAAAACTACATGATACGTTTTTTTTAACACCTATAATAAATTTAAATAAATCAATCACAATTTTTTCTTGGTGCAAGTTCAAAGGACCACAACCTTAGGCAGCCTAACAGATATTTGGGCGTTCTCACAATAACATCAACAGAAAGTAGAAAAAAAGTTAAACACACTTTATGTTGGGGCTCGCCGCTTTCTAGGTCTTTTTTTTTTTCTTTTTGGGGGAATCTCTAAGGAAGCGGCATGTGGCGGAGCCAGTGGGCGGCACCCTGGGCGTTGTGCGTTCTGTGGATTTGCGAGCCAAGCCACCGGGGCAGAACCAAAAAAAAAGGAAAACAAACGACACACAGCTCAAGCAACCAAAAGTGACGTGCCCAGGATGAGGACGATGGAAATGCCGACATGCCTGCCAGCAGACTGAAGCCAAGAAAAAAGTGGAGAATATTGGGTGGAAAAAAGGTCGCTTTTTGGGGTAAGAGGCACTGAGAGAAATTATACCAAAGAAACTTTATTTCAATGTTTATTTCGGGTAAAATCACTAGCATTTTCGATAGCAAAACAAGTTTACGGATTGAATATATTCTACTAGTAGACTTATTATTTCAAATATAAATTTGTAACCTTCCCACTAGCTTGGCTCTATATTTTTTCTCCAGTGTAAATGGCTACCAGACAGACTTTCCAGGCACGTAAGCAGTTTATGCCACACCGCCTTCCCCCCAAAAAGAGCCAAAAATAAAAGTTCAGCCCACATTTTTGGATGCTGCTGCTGCTGCCATCCTCCTTTTGCCCCCATATCCTCCATATCCTGCCCTCGTCCTTGTCCTTGGGGTTGGTAAACACGGCACCAAATTGCCGTTTAAATTTCTCCCCAATGTCTACGCCTGGGGCCAAAGCGGCCTTGAAACATTATTATGACTGTTTCGTTTTTCCCCCCTTTGCCACCTGTTAGACGGAGAAGGCCTGCCCCAAGGCCTGGCTCCCCGAATCCCCATTGCCAATCCCCTCAAGAACTTTATATTTGAAGTTGTGGCTGCCAGACAATGCCGATGGGGGGAACTCAGGGAACTCGTGAAGACAGGCGTTAAATGCTACCTATGCCTCCCACTGGAATCCAGGGATTCGGGCATCCAACAATGGGAGGGGGGTCTCTGATCCATGTCAAGGGTCAGAGCCAGGGGCCAGGTGGTTTCCTTGGCTAACTTATGGCTCTGTCTGCTGTTCAGCCTCTGCTCTTTGTTTAACTAATTAAACTTGTTGTAGTAGAAAGCATGCAAAATACCATTCTGCGTTCTTGGCAAAAAAAATACACGTGTCCGTTAAGGGGGGAAAAAATAAGAGTAAAATATTTGCTTAGGAAGAAGAATGAATGTTTTAGGCCCCAAAAACTAAACGCATGTCAGAATTGCATTGTTTTCTTTGAGGCGTACACAAGAAAAATGATGTTGCCCAGGGCCAGGATATGGCCAAGATGTGGCTTTAACTAGATCTTGGAGACTTGCGAATGGCCTAACAATTAGGGAAAGTTATCTGGATTTAAATGAATTGATTACTAATATTTGGTTGACGTATACAGTTATGTTTATAGAATTAATAGAATTGGGGACTTAAATTATTCAGTAAATTTATTCCAATACTATTAAATAATCAACTAATGGCCTTGACTTATTTAAATCTTAATGAAGTCTATACTTAATTTTTTTTTCTTAAACTCAAAATTTCCTTAAATTTAAATACCAAAGATAGTTTGCTTCGATCTTATAGGCTCGACCAGAAATTTCTCGCTTTATTTTCGTTGGAATTTTCTCGGGACAAACGTCCCATCATCAGCAACTGCGCATTAAAACTAACTGCTAAATTATTAGCAAGACAACCCATCCATCTCACGGGTAGGTCCAGGCGTTGTCCTTCGTCCTTGCGCTCCCTATGTGTCCCTACGGTGGGGGTCTTGGCACACGGAAAACCGAAATGAAGAAAAATTGCGGCATGTCAGTGGAAGGCAGAACAACAATAAAAAGGACGAAACCGACAACATGAAGACATCTTCAGCATCTTTTAGCCAGAGTAAAACGAAACACGCGCCAGGAGCATTCAACATCCAGCAGCCAGGACGAAAAAGTAATAAGTGTGTCTATTTGTTTGCGAATATTTCATTTCCCGTGCCGTTTACATTCTATCCCGCGTTCCCTCCTGTAACTCCCACAATTCTTGGAGGGAAAAAAGAGCTAGGCGATGGGACTGACTGTCACGAAAGTCGCATTTCCACCCGAAAAAAAACAGAAACTAAATTATATAACCGTATATCAAATTTAGTCTCTGTTTATGTTGGTTGGCCCCACAAACAAATTCAATTTGAATTTGCAAAATATTACTTTGAGCTGTGCTTAAGGCATAAAACCCTGAGTTATTGTCAAGGAAAGGCATAAGTTGTAGTTTTAAAAATATATAAATATAGAGGTTTGTTTTAGAAATATTATAAGGACTTGATGAAGAAGTTTTAATCTAATCCAAAGTACTTTTATACTCCTTCAGGGTATAAGGTTCCATTATAGTGATAAAAAGAAAAGGTATAAGTAAAGCCTTCAATTAGAGCCAAGCTCCATTTTGATCGATAAAAAGAGGTCGATTCTGGGTATTCCCAGAATATAGAATCCTTGCAAATTATTTACATTATCAACTCACTTTCCTATCATATTCTGACATGAATCGAAGTTACCTTAATACCACAACTCCAACAATACATCATTTTAGTTTTTTTCAGCTCAGTTCATTTCATTTTGTCAGTTCCTGCCGTCAACAAATTCCAAGTCCATACATCCCAGATCCCCTGCTCCGAGTGTTGCATGGAGAACGGAGGAGGCAACTCGACTCCGGCCCAGCCCAAGGCCAGTCGCAAAAGATGTCCATCGACCATTGCCTCTGTTCTTGGCAAAACTGGGGATAGAATTTTGCGAATGGAGGGGCCTCTTCCCAAACTCCGGATAATATCCGATGACCCTGAAGGTGAGGATCCCAATAAAAATGATCCGAGATCTATATCAATGGTGGCACCTGGTGGCCTGCGATTCGGTAGCCAGGATTTAACCAATGGCGCTATAACCGACGAAATTCCTCGGGCATCCGATGAGAGCGACGAAAAGGGAGGAGCCCTGCGTTTCGCCAGTGAGAGTAGTCAAGATGGCATCCCAGGGGCGACGTATTATGAAAGGGATAGCAGCATAGAATCTGATCTCATTAAACCCACCCAGGACACGGGCAGCTGTAATCGTCCACAGGGACGTACAGTGGGCAGGAACACGATGGGCTTTAATTCCTACATGAAATCCGTTGCTCGGTGCCCTGATGATGTGGAGTGCTCCGATGAGTGTGGCTATGGCACTGGCTGCCAAATGCAATGCAGGGAGATCCATGGCATTGCACCGGATAGCTTAACATCCTCGTTAACTCTCCCAAACCTAAGCATAACTGCACAAACTGCACCGATTGTTTATCCAGGTCTATCAGCTCGCCCCGGTGGGTCAAATAATTACCCCGATATGCAAATAGCAGGCTATAATGATTCTTCTGGTGGACCCTATAGAACTCTCATGGAATGTCCAGATAGCTGTCCAGGTGATACCACTACACAGCTAAATTTCTATATAATGCTTCTACTGGAAGTCTTCGGTGTGCTAATGTGGGTTTATATAAATATGTATTTATTTGCCCAGGGGAACTAACATCCTTTCTCCTGCAGCTTCTTTGCCATCTGCACCATCACCTTCTGGATAACCTTGGCCTATCACTTTATCAAGCTTTTGGTGGAACTCAAAAACGCTGACCGCAACACCCAGGTGGCAGTGGCCATTGTATTTGGTTTGCTTTTCCTTGCCTTTGCTATTTGTCATTTGACCAGTGGGAGGAGCACCTGTTGCCGTCATTCGGATAGATCCCATCGGCGTAATTGGAAAAAGGGTGCCAGCTGCCACACGGTCAAGCCCGAGCCTAGGACCCCAATAACAGTCAGGGTTCTATCTCAGATAAAAAAGCTAATGTCCTTGGGTTGCGGCAAGTGCAACAGTTCCCGACCGAAGGCCAGTTCTCCATGCAAGGCCAAGAAGGAGGTGGTGGCGCCATGTCGTCGAAAGCCAAAATACAGCGACTGTGAAGGTCGGGCCATTTTCATCAACTCTAGACGCTATGCCATTCCAACGGAAATGAAGCAACCTCCCACTATACTCCTCTGGCTGCTCGATGTGATCGGTCGCTATATGTAGTAGGATCAACAGAATAATAAGCTAAATTGTTCACCTGTCAATGATTATAACAGATCAATCAATACATTGGAAACAGGAGGAGGAATAGTTTGGACCATGGCTTTAACCAAGAGCTCACTTGGTAACACAACCCGGCGCAAAATTTCATGTGTTTTAATAAATATTTCCTTTCATACAAAGAAGTTGGTAATTATCGAGGTTTTAGTTGGGAATTGTAAATTAATATGTATGTATTATCTTTACATACTTACAGGGTATTATAATTTTAATCAGAAGCTTCTAATGCTGTGAAGGAGTCATTTCCGACCCTATAAACCACATATATTATTGATCAGCATCAACAGGAGAATCGATTTAGACATGTCCCGTAGAAAAATACATTTTCAAACTTTCAAAAAAAGATAAGTTAAGGGTTACATCGATAAAATTTGCAAAAATTTGCTAAAAAGTATGCAGGTCTTTAAATCTAATAAAAAATAACTTAGGACTGCTTTCCGAAATAAAATTAATGCATTTGTGGCTTAGTAACGAGTTGTTTAAACTTTGCTTAGTCGAAATAGTTGTCATAATAATATCGATTCTTATCCTAAAATTCTAGAATTTTTCCCGGCTGTCCCTAGTTTATTGGACTTTGAATTACAATATTTTTAAATAAAAAAACCCTTCGACTTATGCCATTTAATTTCACTAACTGCTGCTCAGGCATTTGATTTATGAACATTGAACCTGCTGAAAGTTCAACTAATACATAAAATGCAAACGGCGTGCGTAGACAAAAGGAGAGGAAAAAAACTTAGTGTAATTTATAAAATGCAAGCCACACATGGTGCCTGTGTGCGCTGTGAGTGCTGAATGTTATTAAAAACAATATAAACAACTTCCTGGCGGGTTGTGGGGTCGCTTGTTTATGGACGATTGTGTGTGAGGCAAATGGGGAGCCAGGCCTTAAACCACAAAGTACCACTTTCCTGCCTATTGGGCGGTTGTGCGGCAGTTGCGGCAATTTTCAAATTGACTTTTGCACATGTTGCCGCCGTTACGAAAATGCGGGCAAACAATGTAGTCGAAGTGGGTTTTACTAAAAAACAAAGAACGAAAAATATTGCACAAAGAGTGGTGCCAAGTTACCAACAAGAAAATATGGTAGCATCAACTAGCAAGAAAGTTGAAATGGAAACTATAATAAACTATATAAAAATATTTCAAGCATAAACTTTGTTTAAGTTGTATTACAAAAAAGTAAAAATGTATTGATCTTAAATTAAATTTTTAAGCTTCAAAATAGGCAGCACTGGCGTCGGTTGGACCGTTAGATAGTCCACGAAGTAGTGCCAATGGAAGCAGAGAGGAAAATACAAGAAAAATGTAAGAAAAAGAAGTGCACAGCCAAAAACGTGCCAATTGAGCGCGTGAACGGAATAAACAAATAGTTCACAGACATCGCTTTGGTCGAATATCCATCAAAACGACATTAGAGGCGGCGGCAGATGTTCTCTTATTTTCACATTTCACATAGCTTCCCCCCAATTTTTTTGTTTATATTTGCGCGCCGTCAAACCACCACGACATGCAACACTACCCTAGGGGGAACACTTTCCAGCACTATACTCCAGAGAGAAAACAGTGTTGCAAGCGATCACGCTCTTACACACACATGTGCACAAGATTTTGCACGCACACGAACACAAACAAGGGTAAAACGAGCAGACATATGAGAGAGAAGGAAAAAGAGAGCAAGAGCATTGTTTCAGAGAGCGGCGCCGGTCAGTGCCGCCAGAATCTCGCAAGCTAGAGTAGCTAGATTTGAAATAAATAAGTCTTTAACAATCTAATCAATTAATAATATAATCACTACATTAAATACAACAAATATTGAAATATATAACAATATAAAATGCCAAAATTGTTTAAGAAAAAGGACAAATTTCAAGATTTGAAGCTGATAGCTAATTAAAAATAAAACAGTTAAACATTCATCGATTATTGAAGTTCTCAGATCTGGCAAATAGCTAGCTAAAGTATCAGCACTGTTTGAGAGAGCGGCGTCGGTGGATTTGTTCTCAACGCTGCGCCGCAGTTTTTGTATTTCCGAGTTTTTTTTTAATTTCATTTGCCTTTTATTCGCTCTCCGGCTTTATTTCGATTTTACTCCGATTTGTTAAAAGAAAACTAAGCGTTCGCGATTCGACAGGCATGCTGAAAATGACAAATGTTGCTGGGCCGCTGCAAACAATGAAGAAAAACGCAAACGGCAACGACAACGACGACTCCGAGGAGTCCGACATGGACATGGATGAAGAGGAGGAGGAGGAAGAGGAAGAGGACGACGATCTGCCCGACGATGTTGTGCTACAAATCGACAGCGAGGACGAGGCGGAGCTGGAGGCGCAGCGCATTCGCTTGGTGCGCGAAGAAGAGGAAGAGGCCAAGGCCAAGACCAAGATAGCAAAAACAACAACAAAGCAGGAGGAAAGAGAAGCGCAGGTCAGTAACGGTAAAGCGAACGGCGTGGTGAAGAAGGAGACGGAGGAAAAGTCGGAGACCGGAACAACGAAATCCGGAAAGACGGCCACCAAACGTAAGGCACGCGGCAAATCCGGACGTCGGACCTCTGTGAGTTCGCAGGCCTCCAGCATCGGCTCCGTTGCGTCCAGCGCAAGCGTCGCCTCTTTGGTGGCAGCTCAGGTTCTGGCCGATGAGAAGGCGCGCAGCTTCATTTACAGCTGTACGCAGTGCACACATCACTACCCCGACCGTGTGGTCCTCTCGCGGCACTTCCAGAAAGAGCATGCCGAGAAACCCAAGCGAAAACGTGGCCGGAGCAAGCTCGTCAGTCCCGAGGAGCATTCACCTGCTGTTTCGAGTCCGCTAAACCTCCGTCCAGAGGATCTGAGTCAACTCAAGCCATGCGCCCAGTTGCTCATGCAGGGCGAGTCCCTGCTGCAGCTGTGCCTTGCCTGCAACTCACAGTTTGTGGACCAGCAGCACTTCCAGGAGCATCTTAGCCAGCAGCATGGTTACTTCAAGCTGCTGCTGGTGCCCAAGGAGGAGCCCAGCGATCTACCGCCGCTGGCCATGGTCACCATTCCGGGGGCTCTGGCATTAGACAAGTCAAACCAGCAGCTTCAGCTTCCCATACCGGCGCCGGAGACCCCGCCGCCCGAACAGGATGCCAAGGAAGCGCCAACAAATACGACATCTAACGATCAGGAAGATCTCAATATGATAAGCGCCATGGTGGCAGAGATTGCGGCCGAGCGGGTGAAGAAGACCAGCAGTCCCAAGGTCAGCAAGATGATCATCAAGCTGCCAACGGCGGCCACCAAAAAGAGCAGAAAACGCGCCAAGCCAGTGAAGACAAGGAATCAGGATATTCTTGAAATGCTGCAACTGCAGCCGGTGAAATCGGAGCAACCACAACCGGAGGCGACAAAGAAGACCGAACAAGCACGAGCGGATCAGGGAGCTAGTGAGATACCTCAGAAGTTAGAGAAAGCTCCTCTAAAGAATGTTGTTATTAAGAGCAAATCGGAGAAAGTTGAAGGGGACCCTCAGCAGCCAAAGAAAATTGACCGAGAGCCAAAGCTGCCAAAACTTACAGAGTCGTTACCTGAAAAAGTTGAGGAAACTCAGCAGCCAAAGGAAGTTAAGAAGCCTCTGCAGTCGGAAAAACTAAAGAAACAGCCGGAGAAATCACCTGCAACTTCAGACAAGGAGCAGCAGCCATCACCCGTAAGTTTAAGACCTTGACACGACCATGACAACCTTCTCAAAAACTAAATCTTCTTTCAGGAGTCAAATCTTAATCCATCCAAGCGCAAGCGCAGCCGCAAAGAGCAAAAGTCGCCAACGCCCATAACCGTCCCGATGGAAAACAAAGAAATTAAGGAGGAGTCTGAGGCCACAGAGCGGCGCATGCGCAAAAACCGCAGCTTTGTGGACCACGTAGTGGATATTAAGGATGAAGAAGGGGACGATGAAGGAGAGGAGCCAGAGCTGGATCAGGATTCCTCGGCTACAGGTTCACCAAACACTAGCTCCGCAGATGACAGTTTCACCTCGATCAAGCGTGAATCATCCGAGGAGTCGCAGCGTAATGAAACCGGAAGCGGCATACACACTTGCAATTTCTGTGGTAAAACGTTTAAACGCTTCTCTCGAATGCAGGATCACCTGCGTCTCCATACCGGCGAGAAACCCTACGTTTGTGGACAGTGCGGCAAGGCATTCCGTTTGAAGATGCGCCTGGTTGAGCACCAATTGCGTCATCGTACCGAAAAGGCCTTCAAATGCGAGATCTGTTCAATGCCACTGGCCACCAAGCAGGATCTATCACTTCACATGCGTCACCACAAGAACGACAAGCGCTACAAGTGCGACAAGTGCAACAAGGCATTTGTACGCAGCTCTGATTTGTCCATACACGTTCGGATTCATACGGGCGAAAAGCCATACAGCTGTGACATCTGCAGCAAGGCGTTCCGGGCGCGTCAGAATCTTGTGGTCCATCGACGCACGCATCTTGGTGACAAGCCCATTCAGTGTGACCTGTGCGACAAGCGCTTCGCCCGGAAGATCGATATGCGGGTGCACATGCGCAGACATACTGGTGAAAAGCCCTACAACTGTGATTCTTGTCAGCGCGGCTACTCCTCCCGAGTAAATTTGGCACGTCACCAGGAGCGTGAGCACGATAAGAAGGAAGATGAAAATATCTCTGCATCTGGCTCTGCCAAAGCTGAGAAGAAAAAGCCGGAAAAGGAGCAGGAGAAGCAACCGCAACCCAAAGCCAAAGCGGCACCACCACGTCCGCGACGTGAGAAACTGTCGCAGAAGATCGAGGTCCAGGAAAAACTACTGGGCGATATGAAGCACAGCTTGAGCACATTGCCGGAAATACCCGAGGAAGAGTCATCAACTCAGGTCAAGTTGGATATCGGGGAACTGCCAGCAGATGCCGGAGCAGGCCTTGCTCAAGTTCAAGTCACAGTGTCCATGCAGATGGAGCCCGCTCCCAGCCATGATGACGATGAGGAGATTACGCCGGAGAAGGAGAACGCACTCTCCAGCTCGACTGCGTCGGCCGTTGACAAGACAAAAACAAATCGCAAGATCACCAGCTACTTCACAGTCGTGGGTCAGCAGGCGGAAATCTAAAGACTTAAGTTTCAGGATTAGGAGCAACACTTCTTACAACTCATTACCTTTTAAGATATGCCACTCTGTACTTGGAAATGATGGTGGACACATCATTGCCGCTAGCATAGCGTACACCTCGCAATTTTGATCTATTTTGGAGTTTAAATGCAATTCTTGCAGCAGGGATCAAGTATTTTTTATATATGTATACTATTTATATCATATATTTACCATGAATGAAGTCGATCTACGGAGAGGCATGAAGGATTAACATGTAACCCACAAAGAACAAGAAAAGACTACTTTTTAAAAGAAAGAAATTGATATTTTGAATACGAATCAAGCAAGAGACTGCAAATATATATATAACATATATAAATATATTTTTCTACATAGACAGAGCAACTTTTGTGAACAAAATAAGTTAAACTACTTGTATAAAAAAGAGAAAAAATACAAAACAATAGCTAGTTAGGTGATCTAAACAATTTAAGAAAAATATTTATGCGAAAATCAACCATTGAAGCTCAAAATTTCTTTGAAGTCACTCTCAATCAATGGGTTTCCCAAGAATAATTCGTAAACACACTCTTATCAGGGCTTCAATATCAGCGATATATATATTTTTTGTATACAAAATGCGCACAACGATTCAAAATTTTATTTACAAACATTTCCTCGCCCATTCCCGAAAGATTTATTTACAATTTCATTTCAATATCAATTGCAAGTCACTTTTATAATGCAATTCATATACAAAAAATCTCCAAAAAACTTATATACTCGAAATTCCAAAATTAATGTAATTTAATTTTAATTCTTTAAATTTTAAGCAGAAGGAAATGCTCTCTATCTCAGCACTAGCTACTATAATTTATGTTGTATTTACAATTTACTTTAACATATAATTACTTAATTATTTTCTCGAATTATAGGAAAAGACAATGCAAATGGTCAAAGAGAGTGCATTTTATGTGTAAATTGAAATTTTTGTGGCAGCTTCTTTTCATTCTGTGTATCATCTAAGAGATTTCTATGAATATATTTAAATATATATATATATACTTTATAATTTAAATTAATTCATGTTTATTTGATACCGAATTCAATGCAAATTGTTGCGCCTTGTAAGTACTTCAACCCCCGAAATTTGCAATTACCTGAATGGGGTGTGCGACTGTGTGTGTGTGTGTGTTGCGACTTTTATGCTTTATGTTTATGGGCCAGAACAACAAAAGGCAGCTGCTACTGCTCCTGGCTCCTGGCTACTGCTGCTGCAGCCCTTGTCAATTTTTCAGCACTTTCAACTATTGCTCGAGAGGATTCGGGGTGGACGCTGCCGGAGAGTAAATGTCGGGCGGCCGAGGCTGTTTGTCATTTGTAATGGGGTTGTACTCGGGTTCATTTCATAGTGCCGAGGGGTTGATATGTGAGGAAAAGAGAGATATAAATAAAGCCAGAGGACAAATGGCCAAGTGGGAGAGCGTAACGGTGCGAGAGTGATTTATGCAGAAAGATCCAGGTGGAACAGGATATCCCCTAAACGATCGTTGAACTCTGCATCTCGTAGGGATTAGGAATATCTAACTAAATAAATCAACCCTACTGTATAATTAATTTAGGGTTTCTTTAATCGAGAATCCTTGTACAGAGTTTGTGTATTTGAAGTTTGAATTTAATTTAGAATATTGTTTCCTGGATGCTAAATACTGATACTATAATTATTGAACTAAGTTGTATATATTTCTCACACCTATTTAATACAATAAGAATACTTGAATATATTTCTAATTTTAAAGTGACAAAACACTGATAAGAATAGGGTTTTTCCCACTTTTTATGACTGACATGTTCATTTCGCATTTGAATTCTTATCCGAACGAATACCAATTCCTTTGGTCTAGCACTATTGTGGCATTTTTGGCCATATGCTTATCATCTGCACCGCTGCAATGACAATTTATTTTTTTCTGGTTTTCATAACAAAAGCGCAGCCCAACACAAAAAATGCTAAAATCAGCAAATAAAAGAAAAAACAAAACAAAAAATAGCATGAGCTTGAAATGCAATATTACGCATACGACGTGTGGTACCGCGTGCTTTGTTTGGGAGATTGTGAAAAAATAAAAAAATCAACCCAAAAAAAACTGAAACAAAAAGAAAGAAAGAAAACCGAAAAGATAGTCAACGTGACAGAGAACACACACTAACACACACACACACACATGTATATGAACGGAAGTTGTTCATGTTGGTGTGCGAAAATATGCAAATTAAGTGTGGCGACTTTTGTTGTCGCCGTTTTTTGGTGTAGAAAGCGTGTAAAAAATCGAGCAAAAAACTGTACGTATACACATTATTTTGTGCTGGCGATTGAGGAAAGCGAAGCGCTGAAAAAAAAGCGAGTATACGCCCCGTTGTACAGTCAGCAGCCAGTAAGCATGCAAGTGTGTGTGTGTGATTCTGAGCTTCCATGTCTGTGGTTGTGTGTGTGGCGATCAAGCCTGCTCTTTTTTGTTTTGTTTTGTTTTCGGCTTGTCTCGTCAGCATTTTTACACTTTTATGTTGCTGGCTTTTAATTGAATTTTGCTCCATTCTCTTGTCTCAGCCCCAGACTTTGGCTTCTTCTGTTCTTATTCCCCTCTTTCCTTCTTTTTGCTGTTTCTTTTCGGTGTGGTTAATTTTAAAACTACCCATAAAAGCCACACGAAGGCGATGTCGACGCCGGCAGCGGCAGAGGCAGCGACTTTTGCCACTAATACAATTACGCACTGACATCGGGTTTATTCTGGATGTGCACTGAGGGAAATTTAATTGACACTACATTTTAATTTAATTTTTAATTAGCAACATTTCCAGAGTGAGAAAAACGTTGTTCTCAATATTAATATAAAATCAAAATTAGCATTGTCTTAGAACCTTATCTACAATTTTTCTCTGTGTGCACTCTCTTCTTTCTTCATCTCTCTCTCACTCTGGCTGGCTTGTGTTTTTGTTTGCCAAGTCTCTCTGCTGCTGCGTTTCTTCTGCATTCTTGTTGCGGTCGTTAACTTGCAACTGAACATGTTTTGTTGTTGTTGTTGTTGGCTAGCCGCTCAGCTCCACTCTTTTGTTCTTTCTCTCTTCCGCTCTCGGTTCTAAGGAGCGTGTGTTTTTGTTTGTGTTGGCGCTTGGCTTATGTTGATTTGTTTGCGCAGCGTCTCATCTCTTTGTGTGTGAGCCGCTTTGCCATCGCCATTTGCGTTTGTGTACGTAAATATGGTGAGAGAGCGGCGTTGAGAAGTTTTCCAACACTCAAGAAAGCGCGGGGCATTTAAAGTTTTTTTAAACTGCCAACGGTGCGTATGAATGATAAATTTGAAATTTGTATTTATTTTGATTATATATAGATAAATACAGTTGGGATTTGTGGAATTAGTGTTTTGTTCAGAGAAAAAAATATATCAAAAGAAAATGCATTTATGATCTTAATGAATCATTTTATTAATCAATTTAATCAATTTTGACATCACAAAAATGATGGTTAGATGTCCATTTTCGTATTCTGCATGAATAACTTATTGAATTGAGCAGAATTTTAATTAATTGAACTGAATTAATGTGATTAAAATGTATAGAACCGCAAAATCAAATTAACAGTAAATTAATTCTTGACAAACGCGCATTTTAATTGACTGATTAAATATTTCGCAACGTCAGGAATTCCACTTTCTTGGATCGTATCAACTGATTTACGTATTTACCAGGACTATTACACCGGCGTTAGCATTAATTTTTATTCATAAGCCTTGCTGACAGACCCCTCACATGCATGAAATGCATTAAAAATTATTTATCCATAAATCATGCAATCGTTAATAAATAAAAAATTCATTCGAGTTCATTTCCCGTCGACAGTGAAATGGCGCACATAAACAAACAAACAAAGTAGGAATGGCAAAAAAGAAAATTGATATTAAGGCAAAAAAATATATGTAAATGCATAAATAAATCAGAGCAGCGACGAAACAACAAACATTGCGGCGGCCTGTCGTGCCTGTCGAACAAACAAATATTCATAATTGTAAAAAAACGCTCAAAGTCAGCACCCGCAGGGCTCAAGGGGAGGTGTGGGGATATGCACATTCAAGGACCAAGGGAGGAGCCTGCAAACTAACCGCTGAATGTGCATAATTTATAAAGCTAATTAAACGCGCATTTAACTAATTAAAAATATAGCGCGCTTCAATTATTGAAATATGCTGCCCAATTATGATGCAGTCCAGTTCGAGGAAATTTGCAATTAAAATATATGTATATGCGCAATCTGGGAGTGGCATCGATTCGATATATGTACTATGTATATATATTCCCTAGCCGAATATCGTCGCGGCGTATACGTAATGCTAATCAAAATGTATATTACGTATACGACAGGCATGACAGGGTTCAAGCTAATTTTGGCCATTCGATGTTATTGCTGCTGCTTCAGCTGCCTTTTTGGCTTTTAGCAACCAAATACTAATTGACATTTCGCTATGCCGACAAGCAAATGCGGCGGGGCGGGGAGGGGGGCTGTAACACATGTCTATAGCTTTACAGTTAGCCCACTACTACTGCTTGCCAATGCAAAAACAGTTTCAATTAAGCAATTAGCGCCATTGAAACAAATCCAACACGTTTTGTGGCTTATAAACTGAAGCATCATGTCGATTGGTTCGGGCCCTGCGGTCGATAAAATGGAGTCAGGGTATAGGCCATTTTGGGGATTGGGGATTTTGTTTTCTGTGGCCATTCATTTAAGGCAATTAAAGGGTAATTGGGGTATCTGTGTTTGTCTGCGATCATGATTGATACGGTGAGAAATCAGCCATCTGAATGTGTCTACTGAAAGCGTTTATTCCTAATTCTTAAAGGATATTTGAATGGAAACTAAATATAGCACAATCAAACACAGGTAAGAAGCTTTTGAAAGTGTAAAAGACTACATAAAAAGTACATACAACTATTGTTTAACTTAATAAACAATTTATTATGAAATGGAATTATTTGTAAAACAATCATAGATAAGTCAGAAACTTTTGTAAAAAGTAAAAGCTATTTAAAAGTACATAAAAGTATGGTTTAACTTAATAAACTTTTATTACCAGCAGTTGGTATTTCCATCTAATTTAGCTATAATAATTTCTGTTTATATTGAAATGTAATACTTTTTCCTAATGTTCTGTAGCTTAGATTTTCTTTATTTAAAACCACAGTATCTTAGTAGTCTACCTAAACTTAACCATTACTGATTAGTACTTGGCTTATTACGCTCATTACTAATACAAATGCAAAATGCCATTTTAGTTACTGCTGCTAATTTGCGCAACATTTTTGGGCCTCGCTCAGTTAGC